GTGGATAACGGTCCTGTCCACCTTCTTGCAGCTACGTCTGGCTGATCAGGCCAGATACCACCATGCACTGACAGTGTCTTCGTTGGGCAATGACTGTCAGGCATGCATTGCCCCCCTGCACATGTAACCTTTGCAAACAGGTGGTCCACACACACACACACAATGCCATGAAAACGCAACATGAGCTGAGCCATCGATAACAGCTGAAGGGTATGCAGACGAAAGTCTTCCCGAGGCCTCAACAAGAAGCGCATTGCGTACTTCCACTTCACGAAGGCGCCGCGGCAATGTCCGGCTAATGGCAAGCCAGCCTTGCTCTGTGCCGACAGCACTTAAACGGGTTGATGAGCCCTCAAGGTCTTGAATGATATCTTTTCATTTTCAGGAGGACACCGAGGCTCGACTTGCTCCTGGCGACGAGTCCCTGGGCTTTTTAATAGAGGGAACAGTTCCCCTCGACATACAGGGCTTCGGCTGCGGCCGTGCTGGTATTGCAGGGCTTCGTTGAGATGAAGTGCGCCAGTTGAATGGCTCAGGGCTTCTGCGTGCTTGGATTGAATCTGTTCCAGGCTAGAGCTTTCCATAATGTTCTAGAGTTCCGGTGTTTGCACTTCGGATGGGGACAGTGGCTCAGCAAAGGGTTCAGCTCTTTCTCGGGCAGCTGACTGACCCTTTGCTACTGTATGTTGCTCCATCTTGACTGGGGACATGCCATGCGACTAGCACATCCGCAGCATTGTGCGTCTTCCCTGCATACCTGGGAGAATTGTGAGGGTTGTTGCCTCAAGTCAAAAGCTACACAGCTCTGCCACTTATGCGCAATTCAGGCTTCGTTTGCGACTGAACTCATCTGCTTATGCAGACTTGGCCGGCTCTGATGAGGCTCTGGCTTCAACTTTTGGGAATCCGCTGGGCTTATTGCATTTGCTTGCACATGAGACCTCAACTTCCGGAAGTTAATTCTGCCACGTCTGACCAGACTTCTTGCACTACAAGTCCGTGTGGTATGCTGGGAGTGCCGACAGGTGAATTGCAATTGCACACAGGGCTGTCGTTTCGAAAGCCCCTGCCTTCTCGTACAGCACAGCGCTTCACGCGTTTCTGCCTCACCTGTCGCTACCACAAAGCCTTAGATCCTGTTCGCCCCGTGTCAGGCGGGGTGGAGCGCAGTGGGCCATGTCGGGAAGATCACGGCCAATGAAGAGGTTCGGGGCCGTTTATATGATACCGTACGCTCGCGATGAGCGAGAGTCGAGGTTTGAGAGGAATTGGAAGTTGGCGCTTCGGATGGCCTGACGACAGCCTTAAGAGACTTGAGGCTTGCGGGTTGGGAGGCTGTGGATGTGAGAGGTTGGCGCTTCGCGGTTGGGACTTACGTGTCTTCTTGGAATACACATTGCTGCAATTGCGTAATGGTCTCTCAGCCTCATACAAGAAACCCCAGAAAAGATCCTCGCTGGCTTTCGGGCTTTATAGGCATGGATTGTCCGACTGGAACCTTCTACACACCCTGAAGATATCAACCCTGCTGAAGAAGGCATCACTCCACATGGGGATGCATAAGGACCGCTTGTGCAGGAATTATGAAGGGATGGGCCGCAAGTCACGGCAGCTCAGATCCCCTGTAAAGCGGTTAGAAAACAAGAATGCGTAAACAAGAACATGAGCAGCAAGCTCGCCCTGTGCCTTTCTGCAGAATCAGATGATACAAGGGTATACAAAGCCTAATTGACAGCTTGAGGTCTATTTAAAGTCCACAGGGTCCGAGCCTAAACAACGGTGCGCTCTGCTTGTCGAACTGGGGCAGCATAACCAAAACGATAATGTTGACTGCACGAAGCCGGGCTTGGCAAGCCGTGCCCAGCCTGAGTGCTGAACTTGGCGATCTTCAATGTAGATCCTGCATAGGTTGTGCTGGGCTACCAGGGCGGCCCTTCTTGAAGGGCCGACTGGTCTTCCTGTTGCATATGCAAAGACATGCTCGTGTGTCAAGCCATCCAGTACTAACACTGTTCTGTATAAATGCTTTAAACCGACGAGGAAAATTAAACGAGAATGCTCATTTAATGCTGTTTGGGTAACGACCAGGATTTGACTGACCGTGAAGCACCGCGCAACCTCAAGTATACTTCCGTCGCAGTGGTCAAGCATGCAATTTGAGACCTAGCAAAAAGCTGTGTCGTGCTGGATTGGTGAAAGTTCTTGCCGAAGCAGGCATGGATTTGATTAGAGCAGATTTTGCGAGAAGTGTGTAGACGACCACAGAGTGCTCAGCCTCTATGGAGGGCATTGCCCTTTCAGAGTGTCTCTTCATGCTCTTCCAAGGATTCTGACTGGAGCAATCAGGCTAAGTTCTCACAGCGCACACGGAACCTCGTAGAACGCTTGCGGATGCTTCGAGAGGTGGCACTTGAGCTTCGAGGAGGTCAGCAGCTGGGCCCCTGGGACATCAACCACGGCTTCCAGGTCGAGTTCGTGCCTTGTCCCTGCATTTGGCTGCATTTGGCTGCCATTGTCCCCATGTGCCTGCATGCCTTGCAAGCTCAGTACACCCTGAGAGCCAGGGACACATGACATTCAGTGAAGTGGTGTTGAGAACTCATCGAAGTTGGCCCAACCAAGGTGTGGAAGTCCACCTCCTTTGACCGAATGCAGGACGGAACTGCACATGAACATGGTCTGGAGATGCACTAGAATCTGAAAGCTAGGGTCAACCCAGAGCCTTTGCAATGGATGCACAGGGCTTGTTTTTGGAGCATTCGTTGTGTAATCTGTGGAGCTGCCGCAAGTGTGAACAAGGTCGTAATGGTAGCGGTTGAGATTTTCAGCAACCACAGCACAAAGGCAGCAATGCGCACTTTCGCTGTGGATGACACCAGCGTCTCCGGATATCTCTACCACAAACTCCTAGGCTCGGGCTCACTGATGCCTTGTTACCCATTGAGATGTTTCTACAGAGTCAAAAGGGTGGAACAAGTTACATGTTACAAATGTGGTGTAAAACTTCCTGGTTTTCAGTATTGCTGTGGCAGTTGACGGCACGCGAGTCATGAGCAATTGGGCCTCAAAGCCTTGAGTAGCCCGGAGGATGATTAAACAAACACATGACATTTTACTTCTTGGTCTCTAGGTCTGAAGCCATGTTCAATCACGTGCCTGGTCAGGCCACGATGTGGAACCTCAGACGATTCGCTCCACCGTTCCGACATCTGCTTGCACTTCAGATTTTCCGCTTCCAGTAGAGGCTTTGGAGGAAGTTTTAGGATGCAACGTGGTGGTCCTGGCTTCTCTGCTTCGGTTGGCAGGGAAACCATCAGAAAGCATCAATGCCCTCAGTGTTCCGACCGAGTCGTTGATGGCTGCGGGGGTTCAATTTCGGGTCAATAGGGGCCCCGGAGGGATCCTCAAGCTCCTTGAGCCAAGAGTCCGAACCAAACCAGAAACCCAAAGTGCCTGTTTCACGCCTGTTGCAACTTCACTCGAGGAAGCATTTCACTGCGCCCAACCTGCCGCAACTCAACCATTCACAGGCCTCTCACCGGTTTGATTTGTTTGGATATTACATGGTAAAGTGTTGGTTGTCACTAAGGTTTCAGGTTTTGCACGCTGTCACAAGATTGCATTGTGGTTCAGTTCCTGACAGTATGCACAAAGTACTGTAGCATGGAAATTGCAGTAGCATGGTAATATGGCCAGCTTTAAGGGCAGCGCTACCATCTTTTAACATCCAAGTTGTAAGTGCGCCTGCCGCATTTCACATCTTAAGCATGCGTCCGCCACCTCATTCTGATGCTTGCAAATTGGCAGGTGTATGCAGTGCGGAAAGCTTTATCGAATCCGCTGTGTCTGATCCAGGGGCCTCCAGGCTGGGCTGAGCAAGTCGATGGATGTCAGTCACTTAGAGATGCCCCAGCTGCCTGCCAGCCCCAGTACCTGATTGATTTTTGATGACAATAGTTCAAAGCAATGCTCAATGCTCGGTCTACCCCAACCTTCCCTGGTAAGCAGCAGCTTTACAGCTGAGACAGGCACGGGCAAGACTGTCACCTCCGCAACGATTGTTTACCACCTCACGCGACAGAATCAGGGGCAGGCTGCGCGGGCTGTGAAAGGTGTGTGTGTGTGTACAAAGCCAGTGGGTTCACAATGCAGGCTAACAATTTGAAAGCTCATGCGTACACAGGTGCCGTTCGACAGACCAATGTCCACTTCATGTTAAGAAACCATCCCTCCCCTCCCGCCCCCTGCGTGGATGTCAGCTGGAGCTCCAATAGTACTAGCCAGTAGTAGTACTAGTCTGAAGCTGGCGCTTCCAGATTTTTGCATTTTGGCGCATTGGATCTTGCAATTTCAGGGACGGGTTGTAAGTATGTTCTGAGATTTGGACTTCGCAGCCACGCGGGGTTTGTTGAGATGAGGTCAACATTAGCATGATGCAGCCGAGACTTGCGGAGTCTGGACGCAAATAGCAACTTACGCATCAGATGGCATCGATTGACACACACGCATACATCAGCTTCTGGATTGAAAAAAACCGGATTGAGGCTAGTGAAAAGCAAAGCTTGATAGCCCCGTTCAAGCCATCCACAGGCCCGACACTGCGAAGCCTCAGAGTCACCGATGGATCCAAGCTCGCACCTCCAGCGCTTCAAGAGTTCAATCCGTCTTGAAGCCTATGAACGCAAGTACTTGATCGACTTGTTGTCCATACTTCCAAACTGTAACTCATATGCCGGTAGATGTGACCGCCACGTTGCCCAAAGAAAGCCGTAAGACACGCGCAGTTTCGAAGTCGTGCAAGCTACGTCCAGGTCCTGGTCTGCGCGCCGTCAAACATTGCCGTTGACCAACTGGCAGAGAAACTGCACAAGACAGGCCTGAAGGTCGTGCGCCCCTCGACAGCCACAAACTAGGATCGTGTAGAATCGTGTGGGTCCAAGTGTTGAGGTTTGCAGAGTTTGCAGACAGATTTGGTTCTTTAGTCTGGCATGGGGCCTGCGCTCATCAACTTATTTAAGATTCATAGACAAGCACCTAGCTACGCTAACCGGTTGGCCTCAGTGGTACCAAGTCCAAACTGGTGGTGAGATTGAAGCAACATTAGCTCAACTCCATGACTGCAAGCCCAAGATTTGCCGCAGAGTCACTAAGAAGAACTTGTCACGATGAATTCCAGGTTTGAGCGCGAAGTCGCGCGAAGCCGTGGCAAGCAGCGTGGACTTCCTGACTCTCCACCATCAGGCAGGGCAAAGTGGTTGACACGTGGCCGTTGAATTCTGGATGCTGGGCTCCACAGGGGTCTGAGAGTGTTGGTGCATGGTTTTAAGGACCATGCCTTTCTAGCTAGGGTGGTCAGGGCTCTAACAGTTTGAGCGCAGGCAGCGTCTGCTGCGGGAACGAATCTACCAACTACTGATTTTCTCGTGTTTTTGCGCTTCATTTCAGGGAACGCTGAACGTTTCCAATTTAGAAGAAAACAGGCGATGTGGTGGTAGCTGAGGATGGCCTCGGTGTCCGCAGCACAAGTTGCCAAACTCGTGAAGCTCCGGACTACAGCGCAAAACTCATGGTAAATTCTGCGTGGTTCCTGTTTTCTCAGTGCAGAGACGCCTAATCCTTGATCCCTAGTTTCCCGCACCGATGCGTTGCTGCAGTCATGGCATGATGCTAGTGATGCCACACACTCATCCCAGCCGACTCTTCCAACAGAAGGCAGAGATCAATTTCTGCACATTTCGTTAGAGCTCGTGAAAACAAGGAAAGGGTTTGCCGTAGCACAGGCAATATCAAGGATCCTCAAATCCTTCCTTCCCCCTCCACTGCGTGCAAATGGCTCCACATGGTCGACGGCGCACGTCAGCTCCTACTGTTGAGGTTGAAGCTGGTTATCGAAGCTGCTTCTTTGTGTCCCCATGCGCTACTCCAAGACCAGAAAACGTGAGGTTCGGCACTTGGACACGCCGGACCACCAGGAGCTGCAGAAGCTCATGGCGCTGAAGGCTGGAAAAGGGAAATGAAGACTGCCCAACCAGTGATGCGAAACACTGGCAGCAGAGCTGCGAAGCAGTTTGAGCTAGCACTTAGGATGAGTTGGGTGAGCTCTCGCACGTGGATGAGAAGAAGCTCCATGGTTACGTTTTGGATTGTTTCAGCACCCAGATCTCACTGAAATCCCAGATCAATGCAGTGGCCCGCGACAGAGAGTTCTGGCTTCAACACACAGAGACCGTAAGGGATGGATAGCGACATGGCATCAGCACAAGGATCCTTCAGCTGCCTATAGCCAAAGTGGGTACCCAGAAACAACGTAGGCACTAAGTAGACATCAACAAGTGTCTCCGCAGCTTAGAAAGCTCAAGTGCTTTCTTCGCACGACTCCACGCAAGAACTCGAGGTTCAAGCAGCTGCAGAACTCTACTGAGCGGGAGCTGCTGACTGCAGCAGATGTGATTTGCACCACCTGCGCTGCTTGCCAAAGATTAGTTGGATGTCAACTGGTGCCTTCAGGCCAGTATTTCACCAGGTACGGCTTTGGCGCTTTGTGGAGTTTGAAGGCTTCAGCCTTCGTGGATTCAATGACGTCCATGGGTAGGCAGCTCTTTCCCTGAAAGGCGCGCATGTTTGGCCCTGAGGTTGGTGCCGGGGACCCTCGTCTGCAGAACTTCCGCTTCAAGCAGGTGCTGGTGGACGAGTCCACACAGGCAGGGGATTGGAGCGGGCTGAGTTCTGAAGCTACATGCCGATTTTGCTAAGGTACGAAACCTGGCTTTGTCCATTTGCAGGTTTGGCTTGAAGACCGACTTGGTCTGCCACGTACAGAGTCCAGACCAGTTTGGGATATCGGCAGTTCAGCGTTCGCATGCCTCAGCTTACTTGATGTAGGAGAGAGTCGTTCGGGATATATGCTAACCTATCTGTCTTATTTGTCTTTCTTGATTTGAACCTGATTTCAAGACTCCTCTAGACACTGGATGCAGTAGTTCTCCGATCGGCGCCCATCAGTCAAAAACAGCTTTTGATGATATCATAAAGATCATATACGAAGCCTTGCAGGGTCTTTATCTTTAGTAGGCTTCTGAAAATCCCCGAAGGCAAGTAAAGTCAGACTCCTTGTCAGCAAGGCCGCCGAGCCGGAGTGCCTCATCCCGATCATGATGGGCGCCCCTTTGCCCACAGAGCCTGTTGGGAGTTTCAGGGAGTTTGTGCTGCGCTTTTGGAGCGTACTTGCGGAGAAGCTTTGGTAATTCGTTGACGTTTGGATTCAAGGCTCAGACTTAGCATGACTTAGCCAACGTAGCCCAAGGTTGAAATTTGGTTCGCTTGTGTGGGCGGGATCTCTGGCATTGTCAGTTGGGAGTATGTACAAGATGCGCATTGGAGTTTGCTGACCTGACTTTCTCGCGCATCCTTCAGACGTGGCACCTGGAAGGCTCTCACATTGTCATCGCCCTTCCCATGTCTTCACCATGGCCTGCTTATGACCTCCGAAGGTGCTTTCTACACTGACACTGAGACTCTCGATATCTCTCGATAGTCTTAAAACGCCCCGAGACATCCTGACACGCAAGAAATTTCTCAGGCTAAGCAGATGGTGTTGGTTGGAGACCACTGCCAGCTCGGACCTGTCATCATGCAGCTCGGAGAATGTTTTGCAAGACTATGGAGTTTTTTTCAATGACTTCATGTGTGCGCAAACAAATACCTGCTCCTGGATGCACCCCAGAATTTAGCACCCGTACGACCTAGAGCCTGCACTTCAGAAACACCCAAACCACAAGAATCCAGAACTCCCAATCCAAGCAAGGTGCAAGAAGGCCGCCAAAGCTGGCCTTCATCAGAGCCTCTTCGCCGCTTGGTGAAGTCGTCTGCAAACAGGTAGGGCTCAGGCATGCTTTGTGGGGAGAGCCGTGGTGCCTGAAGCGTCATGGCTCTTGGCGCCACTGGGCGTTGACTGTCGCAGCCGGAGACGCCCGTGGCACTGAGTTGTAGCGATCTTGTCATGCTAGGCCCCATCCTGAGTGCCGCAAGAACTGTCGACTGATGTCAGTCAGAAGCGCAGAGATCTGCAGCTCCGACTTCAAAAGTGCACAGCAGATACTGCCAGTCCATAACGTACGAGGATGATCTCAGACATCACTCGCTTAGCATAAAATTTCCATCGAAGTCATGCGAGCCTAAGCCGGTTATGCCAATACTAGAATATACATTAGCCGCTTACATCTACATAAAAATGTGTGTGCATATGTACATGTATAATCCCTCGCATCTCAGGAGCGCTTGATCTTCCTGGGCATCCGCCCCGTGCGCCTGGAGGCTGTTGGCCTGGAGAGATCGTCAAAGCAATGCGTTCAGCAGGGGCGTTCCTGTATTCTTGCTGCGCAGAGCGTGCTCTTACATCTCACCAACACGTTCCAAAATCATCAACATGCTTACTTCATCTCCTTTTGTGGAGCCCTTTCAAGTGCGCATAGGGTCCTTACACCTACCATACTGGAAGCTCTGGATTTTAGCGCAATGTAGGGTAAAATAGATCAAAGAAGCATCGAGAGAGGCACAATGCTTCCCGCCAGCACGCATCTTCCAGATGTCCGAATTCTTAACTTTTGCCGAAATGCTAAGTTCAACAACTTTGCAAGCTCCAGTCTCAACTGAGCCGGTAACGCCAGGTGCAATACCGAATGCACCCTTGTCTTTCGGAGTTCCCCTCCCAATCCTTCTACGACGGCTCCGCGGCTGCAATTGCAGCCTTGTAATTCTGTGTTACTTCTTGGGATTACGTACAGCAGAGTTTCTGCTGGGTTGCACGCGCTACCCATGATGTTCTTGTCTCCGGAGATTCCTGCCGCCATGCTTGGCGGGAAACAAGATTTTTTCCCCCTTGTCGCCTGCTGGACGAACTCAGGCTCTCTCCAGAACGGCGTCACTCTCAATGAGCCCTGGAAGCCTATGGTGTCTATAGGGCTCCGGTAGCGGTAGCGGAAGCCACATGCTTCTGATTCGACGCGAAACTGTCATCCCTCCACGGTGGTCGTATTTCATGTCATTGACAGAGGTCTTGAGATTATATTTGTTCGGTACAGGGGAAGCCGGAAAACAACAACTGGAAGGCGAGAAACGCTTGCGATAGCCTGCCATGAATCATAGGAGGGACGCAGCCGCTTGTTCAAAGGCTAACCTGTAGTCGAAAGTGCCAGGCATGGCCCCACCCTACCTCTCCTTAGACAGCTCAGATGCACTTGCAAAACGGGCTTGACAAGAAGCAATCCAAGCTTTTTGTAAACAGGTTCAGACTTATCCTCAAACCCTTCCCAGCAGTCTCGGTGACAATGTTTTGATGTGTCCTATAGTCGTGGAGTTCAAGCTTTTGGCCATTCCCATTACTGCTCGCCTCGAGCATGTCACAGCGTCACGCGAAGCTTTCAACTCTGAAGCCTGTACCCTCAAAGACTCAAACTGTGCCGAGGAGCGCCTCTATGCGGGCATTGAGTTCCCTTGGCCTCGGCCAGACATGCCAATGCGCCCTGCCTGGTATTGAGCTCTAGGCCTCAAAGTGGCTGTCCAGCAGAGGGGTTTCAGTGCAGGTTGCTTCTGCATGCCTAGAGGTTACGCAAGTTTCATGGTATCAGAAATGTTGAATAACATCAGGAGTCATCGAAACCTGCATGAAGGAGATTATGCAAGGCTTGGACATGGAACCCCGACGGGAACCTCTGAACAGCGATTCCCCCCAAAACCCATTTCAGATTCTGCGTCGTGCCCAATGTGTTAGATTGTGGGAATTTCTTGGGTTTTGTGAATGACTACTGTTCATGCTGTGTTCAAAGTGCTATAGAACGTGTGGAAACTCTAGATAAAGTGGGGCAGACGGGAGGGCCACCAGCAAGAGCGGTTCACCGCGCTTTCGGTTGGAGTATTGCTGCGGCAGATACATGTTGTGTACTCATTACTTGGGCAAAATGTGCAGATGTACGCAACTTCAGGTTCTTCTTGAACTCAACGGGCGCCGAAGAGATCTCTGCATCTGGCACGTCCTACCTAAACCGAACGGAGGCCAGAAGACACCTTGTTTCAGGGTCTGGAGGGCTGGAACCTCCTGGAAAGCGTAGTCTTGGGCATTTATAGGGTTTGTGCTTGAGAGCGTAACTTGGACTTCAAGCTGTTCAGTCATAGCTCGTGCAGGCGTCGGAGTGAATATTTGCAGTTTGGGTTTTGCTGTGGACAGGTGGAAGACGACAGGTGCACACGAATTCCTTTTTTACAAGCACGCAACAGGGTCTGGCGCGATCCCACCATATCATGGTTCGTAAGGATAGAGTAAGTGTGCCCTCAATACAAGTGTGCAACCATGGTGGCACTTCCCTATGGCACTATGGAAAGGTCCATAAAGAAGCACTTGGGAAGAGCTGCCAAAGACACGTACCACGCAAGATGTTGCAAAGTATCATTTACAGGTCTCGCGTGCTCTGTTTAGCCAGCGGGTCCTTTTCAGCAACCCATACCTCTTCGATGCGAGACCCTGTCTGACGTGTACGTGTGTGTGTGTGTGTGTGTGTGCAACCCTGTGATC